CTGCATTGTTCAAGTGTCAGCTGTATTAATGTTGCTGGAATATTCAGGAGAAAAGCCTTTTGGATCATCCAGACTTCGTTTAATGTGCCAGTTTCGTTTAATTAGCACAGAAGTCCTTACCAATGATTTCTCCGATCATGAACACCAGGCAGATGGCAGAGGCCACATAGAGCTGGCGAGAGGCCCGCTCCTTCTTGGGGTCACAGTGACTGCCAGGACCCTTCCCCGCATGACAGTAATGGTTGCTCTCCGAGGCCAACTCAATGGATGGCAACTTCGAGTCAGGTGGGGACACAGAAATCCAGCTCGCGCCATCCTGCCACAGAGGCCCCGTGTAAGACCTGGCCAGAAAGGAAGGGAAAAAGGAGACTCAGCTTTGAGGTGGGAACAAGGAGGGCTGACTCCAGTCCTATCTCTCTGTGGGGCCTTGACGTTCCCACGTGTACAATGAGGAGAATAGCTAAGGACACGCAAAGCTGGACAGTCCCTAAGGAGTGACCAGAAGCCCATGTTCAAGGTGGGTGCTGGAGGACTGACCAGGCTCCCAGAGTCTAGGGACCTTGACGGGGACGTTCACTTCTCCCCCATCCTTCCCAGGGCCTGAAAGAGGCAAAGACCAACTGGCCAAGGGGCGGGACCTAGCAGAAGGGCAAACCCCTATCTCGTGCGCCTGGGGACAGAGGGCCTCCCTGGGCGAGGCTGCCCCGGGGCAAAGTTCCCGGCCATGGGCGGGGCTCTAGGCGGCGCACTCGAAACCGGCGGACTGGGGTCAGGATCTGTGTTCAGCCTCCAGGGAGGGATCATTGCCCCGTCTACTCCAGATTTCCCTCTCCTTCACTTTACCGCACCCCTCCTGTGTGGTCCTAGTTCTAGCCGCCCAAACCATCCCAGGAGAGCAAACGATGCCACTCAAATTCCCATCCCTCCCCAGTCTCTCGCCTTACCGGGCTCCGGGCTTGGCGTCCAACAGATGCTGCTTATCCGTGGCCTTCATGCGGCCCCGCGTGCCCCACTCTGGGTCGGGAAGCCGCGCGCGGTTGCCCCACGGAGTGAATCTTGGAAGTTGCGCGCCAGACGCTCGCGGCAAGGAAGCGTCTCACCTTCCGGGAAAGCCCTGCGTCCCTCTCCCGCCGTCGCCCCTCTTGCGCCCCTTGCACGCCAGCTCTCGCGCCGCTGCCCCTGCCCCGGCGGTGGGACAATCCCGCGACCGCGCTGCTCCAGCCTCGGCTCCACACGCCGAGTGCTTTATCCGGCCTTTGTCACCCCGTGTGAAGCGGCCGGCCACGCGTCGTGTGCAAAAGCCCGCGGGGGAAGGGGGAGGGGTGGCCGGCTGCAAAGGATGCCCGGGAGATGCCCCGGGGCATCCACCCCTGTGTCCCCCGCGGCCCGGGGAGCCCACCTGGCTGGCGACGAATGCCTCTACCAAGTTAGGAGGGGGCGACAGCCACGAGCGCTGTTCCCCGCATGGGGCTGGCAGCGTCCCACAGAGAAGTTCTGGGATCTTGGTTTGTCGGAATTCGCCTCGGATCCCCGGAGAGCAGGAATGCGGCTCCTGAGGCTACGGTTGTACTACCCTGGGGCTGAAGACTGAGAGTTTGGTAGGTTTCCATCCTCAGGGGGCAGCCATCAGCAGTTGGCCGTGTTCCGTTCAGGCTAGGTAGTGGGGTCCTGGGGGGGGGGATGCCTCCCCCCTGCGGCTGGGGCGGTGGCCCTCTTTCGGACCGGTTGGGACTGCCAGACCCATCCTCGCTGCAGCAGCGCGAGTTCCTCGCCTACCCGCTCCGGTGAGAACCCCGAGTGGCGGCTTTATCTCCATCCCCTGCCCTGGGCCGCTGTACTTCAGCGTCTGTCCGTGTTGGTGCAGAGCTGACACGTCAACACCATCCCTTCTCCCCTGACCCCAGCAGCTCACGGGAGTCCCAAGAGCTGCCATACATGGTGTTCCGCCTCTCACTTTCTGGCCTTAAATTCCCCAAGTCTTCTGTTGGAAGATACTTTAGAAAATAAAACTGTAAAGAAAAGCAAGTATGTGACTATTAAAAAAGAAAAGAAAAGAAACGATAGTGGCTGTCTCTAAGCTGAAGAAGTTACGAGGGGAAGGGGGTACATAGAGGACTTCTGGGAGCTGGCAATGTTGTTTTCTTGACCTGCATGGTAGCAACACCAGATTTCATTCTACAATTGTTTATTAAACTCCATAACTGGTTTTGTGCACTTGTGTGTCTGTAATGTATCGCAATTTTTAAAGAAATTATTAAAAATGCTTCAGAACTTGAGAAAGGACTAGAAATGAGAGCAAAATCTGATTCCCTGAAATTCAAACTTAGGGACTGAGCTACATTAGCCTTGAAAAACTCCCAAATGTGAGCCAAGGGGTGAGGGTTTGAAGTGCGGTCACAGCCCTGACTGGCGTGGCTCTGTCGGCTGGGCACTGTCCTGCAAAGTGAATGGTCGCAGGTGTGGCTCCCACCCAGGGCACATGCCTGAGTTGCAATGTTTCTCTCCCTCTCTTTCTCCCTTCTCTTGTCTCTAAAAGTACATAAGTGAACATCTTTTTTAAAATATAAAGTGTTAATGTCCAAATTTATAAGAATTTTTATGAGTTTACTTGAGCCAAACTGACTACAATTACCAGGAAGCAAAATCTCGACAGATTGAGAAAATGCTCTAGAGAATTGCAGTTTTACCTTAACAAAGACAGGAGGAGGCACTAAGAGGGTTCCACGGAATTCACTGGTGACTGCTTAGGGGGCGGGAGGAAGCAAAGTGGGGAAGTCTCTGGGATTGGATAAAGACTAACGGAAGAGAAAAATGCTTCTTTTACATTGGTGGGTGCAGGATAGTTAACAATTAACCTGCTATCAGTGTGTCCTGAGGGGTCTGGGAAAAGGGATTACTCAGACATTCCAAAGGTAGATCATTTTAGACGCAAAAAGACTATAAAGATAGGCTCAGTTAAGGTAAAGAATGAACTTTGTCAAGGAAGATAGCAGAAGGATGTGATTACCTGCTATGAATTTTGGTTAAGAAGTTTTCATTTCAGACCATCCTGTGTGGTTACATTCTGTCTCTGAGGTTGTAAGGTTGCATATGTGGCCCCGTTTTTGTCCAGAAAGCACTTTCCTAAAGTGAGCTTCAAGCCCTGGCTGGGCGGGTCAGCTGGTTAGTGCGTTGTCCTGATACATCAAGGTCGCAGGCTTCATTTCCGGTTAGGACACATACAAGAAGCAACCAGTGAATGTATTAATAAGTGGAACAACAAATCAGTGTTTCTCTCTTTCAAATCAATGTTTAAAAAGTGAGTTACACAGAACATTAGTTCTAGAGCAGGAGCATCAAACTTATTTTTACCAGGGGCCACATCAGCCTCGAGATTGCCTTCAAAGGGCCAAATGTAATTTTAGGACTGTATAAATGTAACTACTCCTTAACAGTTAAGTAAGAGCTCATTGCTGCTGCCGGGTAGAAACAAGGTGCCAGGCCGGATAAAACAAGGTGGAGAGTGGGTTTCAGCCTGAGGGGTCCTGTGTTTCCCACCTGTGCTCTAGAGGATGTCACGTAAATGAATAATCTGGGAAATATTGGGTTAAATATTAAATCCACCAAAGAGCCTTAAGGTCCAGGCAGTATTCCAAACACCATAAACGTGATTGGCCAGTCATTGTCTAAAGTCAAACAGTTTTCTTTATAGTGGGACTACTCATTTGCTACTCAAATATTGAAAAGGTGAGACCTTTTCTTCGATAAATCTTCAGTGTTCATCAGATTTATAAGTCCAAGGTTCTTAGACCCAATGAGTGAGTGCACTGTGCCCGATTCACTCAGTTTCATCCCTCTCCCAGCCCCTAGGCCCCTTGTCCTTGGAAAGCCTTGGTGCCATTTTGGCTATGGTCATTGCCTTGTCCCCCAGCACTGGTGGCTGCCTTGGCCTTCCTTGGGGTAAAGGCGGCCTCCAGCAGAGCATCCCCTGTGCAGCACCAGCACCCATGCCCAACCCACTGGACCTGGGAGGTTCTGCTCCACCCGCTACTCACAGAGTCAGCTGATGGGGTGCCATCTAGCTTAGCTCCCCTTAGCAGCTGCCTAGAGGGGCCAAGCGATGCAACCTGGAAGTGTACAGGAATTAGCAGTCTGGGAGACAAACTTCAGTCCTGAGACAGGAGGTGAGAGGAGCCAGCACACGAAAACCTCTTCCCCTGAGGAAGTGCTTTGAGTCGGTTATGTTCTTTACGGCCTGTCTGGAACGCCACACAGGACTGAGCAAACAGCCGGGTCTCTGGTGAAGCTGAAGCAGGTTCAGTAACTCGACACTCTCTATTTGCTTCTCTCCTTCCCTGCCTTGCTTCCCCTCTCCCTCACCTTGGCTGCCCTGGGATTTATCCAAACTAACACACCGAAGTAACCCTGTTTCTTGAGGATCATCTCAGGGAGTTTTCCATGGAGCTCTCATTAGGAAACGCTGATGTAAAGAGCTCTCGTTTGGTGGGACAGAAGCCCAGCCTTGCCATTGCTGCATCGCTCCTGCAGGTGTCTTTCTGTCAGGCGTCTGTCCCTCCACTGTGAACTCTCCAGAAAAGAAAGCTGAATGAAACCAAAAGGGCGAAGCCAGAGCCATTTGCTATCGTGGCACCATTTGCTGAGCAGGCCTGTGGCCTTGTTAGACATGACGGCCATTTCACTCTTCTGACCTTGGCCCCAGGACTGGGACTCACTGGAAGCAGGAACAGAACTGATCACTCCCTACACCACGGGTGGAAGGTAACATGGGAATAAACTGCAGCCCGTGTTACAGTGCCCAAACAGCACCCCTCCACCCTTTGATAATCCGATTATTATCCAATAAAAGCTCAAAGCCCCCACCCCTCAGTGCCCGTGTGCTTCTCCACACCATGCCCCTCTCCTTTCTTGGAGAGTGAATAAAAACTTTATTCTGCACACTTTCTTCTCTCCGAATTTTTCACAGCTGCGTCACTGAGCACCCCAACAGGAACCCCAACTCCTTTGGTAGTAACAGGAAGAGAGCGAGCGCTGTGCATTTATTAGAACAACATGTAACGCAAACAGTCTCCACCCCCTCTGTCAGGGACAGGCACTGGAGCACAGCATGTCCCCCCTGCCAGGTGCGTGGGTGCTGCCCAGCCCCCCCAGCCAGGGAGAGGACGAGGGCGGCGGGGCCACCCAGGTTTCCTTCCCCCTGCCTAACAGCCGCCACTCACATGATGACCAGGCGTTATCATACAAAAGTCCCTTTACAAAAAGCACCAAATTGGCATACATATACAAGTATATACAAAAATCACATTTAAAAAATGTACAAAATACTCTATTTTGCACCAACGTAGAAAAGTGTCCTCAGCGGTGGTTTCAAGTGCACTCCCAGTTCTGCTTCAGTGACGGCGGGGCACAGGGGGCGGCTGGAGTCCTTGCTCTCTGAGCAGAGAGAAGACACGCCTCCTCCTCCTGGGGCCCCGCCCCCTCCCACCCCGGGCCTGTCACCGAGGCGGCAGGGCCCATCCCCACCCTCCCCGGTCTCTCTGCATCTGGAGGGTCTCTTCCTCAGCCAGCTCCTTACTGGTGTCCTGAAAGAAAGAGGCAAAGAAATGGGAAGTGAGACAGGCACTCGAGGGGATCCAGGGCTCACCAAGCTGAAGTGACAAAAGACTAAACTCCAATTCCTGCCTGGCCTCTTCCTTTTTACACAAAAATAGAATTTAGTTGCCAAGACAAAATAGGATTGCACATCCAACACATAAAACTCCAAAAGACTACTTTCTATTTCTCAGCTGGATTGGAATTTAGTTCCAATAATAATTTGGCTTTAAAAGTGCTATTAATAGGTATATGCTAATTAACAAGCACGTCCTTCCCGTGCACCAGACACTGTGCACTCTCATTATAATCTTCTGCAGTCAGTCAGTACTATCGTGGCCCCATGGACAGAGGAGTAGCCCGACTCAGAACGTGAACTTCCCAAGGTCACACCGCCAGTCCCTGATAAAGCCGTGACACAGTCCGACGGGTTGGCACCCCCGGGTGCCCTTGGGGCCAGCAGATGACACGAGTGAGGAGAGCAGGAAGGTGGACGGTGGTGGTGGACAGTGGTGGGCCTGGGCAAGCCGGCAAGTGCAGCGCCAAGCAGAGGAGAGCGCCACCCAGTGCCGACTCTCTGGGACAAGAGAGAAGGGCAGGCCCAACGTCATCATCCCTTTCAACATTTTAACAAGAAGGTGGAAATCCAGATTCTTAGTTGAAATATCCTCTTAAAAAATCCCTTTAAAAATATCCTAATTTTTAAAATGTTGTCAACGGATTTGTTAAATCCCTTGTTAATTACATTGTGCTGGCCAAACAAAACGCCTCAGTGGACCCAGCTTGGCTCTTGAGGACTCTGTTATGCTGCGTTGATTTCCATAGAGATAGAGGTTATTTAGACATAAAAATGAGCGCTTTTTATTGTGCATGGTTTGGGTTTCTTCCTCTAAGAGCGAAGGGAGCAGACTTTATCTATAAAAGGTTCACATAATTACAATCATCACACCCAGGGACATCCTCCCCAATGCCCAGCACAGCAGTTTGCACCCAGGCAGCATTGCATGTTTTTGTCTGACTGACTGACTGACTGAATGAATGAATGAATGAATGAATGGAAATAGATGGATTTCTTACCTTCTTCCTTTCCCTCTGTGGACCCTTCCTCTTCCTGACCTTCTTCTTCAATGTACTCTTCCTCTTCCTCATCTGAGTGTGACAAAGAACACCAGTGTTGGGATAGGCTGGTTTCTCAGAGGTGTTGCTCACACCAGGCTGGGGACAGCACTGATCCCAATCCCTCCGACGCCAGTCGGAGTCATCCAGCCATGCAATGACTTTAGTGGCCCAGGAGGTGATGGGCTTGCCAAAGCCGAGCTGCACAGGGGTGGGCTTCCCTCCCCCTCTGTCTGCACCCTCCCAGGGAGGGAGGTTCAGGAGGCTCCTTTGTTCCAGGAGCTACAGCAGCCTCTACCGCCTGATCTGCCTGTGACCAGAGGGGACTTTTCTGGGTACACTGTACTTCTGCATACCTCTCAGTTAGACAGATCGATATCACCTGAGGAGGTGGGACAAGAATGCCTTGATTTTCAGTGATCAGGGTCCTTGTCTTGAAGGAATTTGCCCAGCCTTTGAAATCTGCTTGCCTAGTACTCCCTGTCCACTTTTCCTTATTCCTCAGCCTACAGGAAGGTGATAGAGGGTGGGAGCACTTCTGGGGCACCTGCTCCTTGGTTCTCTGAAGCCGAGCCCCAGACTGTGAGTGGGTTGCAACCTGTGTCCCCCCTTTCCCATCCTGACGAGGATGGGAAACGAGGAACATGTGCTAGTGAGGAACATGCCTATTGTCCACCCCTCTCCAAAGCTGCTTCCTCATTCCTTTGGGGCCTTGAGAGGGTCACCACAGAGTCAGAGCACTTGTCTAGAGTGTCCAGGAAGAGGCTTGAAAGAGTGAATGCCCCCAAAACGAGAGCCAAATTTCCAGCCACCTCCCAGGAATCTACGCATAACCCAGGGCGTTTTGCTGCCTTTGTTTCATCATTGTTACATTAGCTATTCATGCCAAGGGCTGTGCTCAGCGCTGCACATGCGCTGTCCCAGGTAATCCTCACCAAGAATCTATGAGCCAGATGGCCCTTGGTGGCACCCACATGGGCTACTACTAGCTGTGTGGCCTCCAGGAAACCTCTCATTGTCCCTGGGCTCTACTTTCTCAACTACAAAATGGAGATGACAACAGAAACTACCTCATGAAGTTGTATTAAGGGCTTAGTGCCTGGGACATAGAAAGTGCTTAAGAAATTGTACTGTAGCTGTTGGTATGGTTCTCTCCCCAGTTTCCCATGAGGGAACTAAGGCTGAGGGAGATTTTGGAAGGCAGTGCAGGTCTTCACAATGCCTCCCTGTTCACACAGTACGATCCACTCTTGAATATATTAGCTTCAGGAGGGTAACTCTTCAGAGTGACAGCTACCCCTAAGTCTGCCAGCATCTGCCAGCTTCAGAATGCATTTTGTCCTCACCCACAAGTGGGGTACCTCAGGTGCTCTGAGCACAGATGTAACAGCAGATTCTGCAAGCTTGCAGGCAAGCTGAGCTTCCCCGTGCTGGCCATGGTATAACTCTTTCCTGCTCCTGCATACCTCTCTTTGTCCTGTTCATGGAAGCATCACCTCTCAGAACAACGCCAGTTTGACAAAACCGGACCTACCATCTCCTTTTCATTGCGTAATAGCTGCCTTTCAACTGTGAGCTTGAGCAAATTATTTACATCTTTGCTCTTCATGGGGTTTCCTCATTTTTCTCTTATTATTTTACTCTTATTGCTGTTATGGCTGCATTGTGACAATCATGGTAGGCACCCTGTGGAAGAATAACTATAAACAGAAATGAGGATATGGTATAGATAAATTAGGGTACCTGAGTATCATAGACAATAGCATGAAAAAGCTGAACCCAAAACTAGCTTTAGGCACCAATCAGTGTATGTCTAGTATTCTACAAACTCTTCTGTGTCGATATCTCAGTTGTTGCAGCAATACCATGAGGTAGTCATTGTGAGCAGGCCCACTTTTGACCCAAGTTTTAGTTAGAAAAATGAAGCCCAGAGAGGTGGAGGGGTTCAGCAGAGGTCACACAGACAACAAATGGCAGTCCCGGATTCACAGTTAGGTCTGTCTGTCTCCAAATGCAATGGTCTTCCCACAGCCCAAGACGCCTCCCTACAGCGATAATTTACTGAGCAACAATTATGTACCAGGCGCTGTGCTCAGCTCTGGGCTCATCCAGAAGCTGGCTGATATCTGGGCATCTTTGCTAGTGTATCTGCCTCCACGTGGGGCCCAGTGGAAGGGAAGCTGATCTCCGGGGGTTGGGCAGAGAAGCAGACAAGTGGCACCACCACCTCCTTTACCTGTCCCAAAGTTGATGGCCCTCAGGGTCTCTGCTATGTGCTCTAAATCCAAAGTAAAGTAGTCCATGTTTTCAAAGCCCTGCTCTGTCTTCCCCAGCTGGCAACCCTTGGAAGCTTCCACAATGCTGTGGGGGGGGGGGGGGATAGGAGTGGGAGAGAAAGAGAAAGAGAGATCTGGGGCTTAGTGCAGGGAAAGGGTGTTTTAGCTCCAACTCACGCCAGTACACACGCTTGTGCCCACACCCAGGCCTTGCACCTAGAGGCTCCCTCTGGAGCGGTGGAGTATTTCCTCTCCAGTCACAAGCAAATACCAGTTCAAGAAAGCACGGGATGATGCAAAGGCCGGGAAAGCCAGCCCAGGATGAGACCCGCCCAGCAGCCCTAATGTAAAGGAGGAGGCCCATTGGACAGAAGTCAGAGGCCCTGGTAGGAGCTAGGGCCTTGGATCACAGGCCCGGGGAGACACTGACCTTTTGATGAGTTGTTTGGCACTCTGTGGGGGGAGAGAGAGCAAGTGGTTAGTACTGCATTAGGGATGGCCCCAGGAAATCAGCAAAACCAGTGACTGGGTCCTGCGGGTGGGCACTTGGTACCATTTCCCAGCCCAGTTGTGACCTGCTCCCCACCCTGAACTGAACAGAACTTCTTCTGCACAGGTCCTGGTGATCACTCTAGGTCCCTTCCATTGTCCTGGTAGGCAGCTTGGATTTTAGGGATATCAGTCTAAACACCTTACACCCTGAACTCTCCAAGATGAGAATCTTATCCTAATCCCTTCTTTACACCTAATGTCTAGCACAAAGCCTGGCCTACAGTAGGTGCTTAGGAAATTTTTATGGAACTGAACTGTGGGATCTTTTAGCTGGTCCCTTTCTGTCTCCCCCAACAAGCTCTTCTGGGGCAGGGCTGTGTCTCCTACATCTCTGTGGCTGACCTATATAGTAGGTGCTCAGTTAACAGGTGTAGGTAGGGATTGTTTTATAGATGAGGAAAATAAGCCTCAGGGAGGTTTAAATGACCTGCCCAAGGGCATGTAGGTGGTCAGAGGAAGAGCATGACTTGAACCTTATACGGAGCTGTTGAATTGAACGGACTCTGCCCACACCTTTTCAGTCGTGCTCACCAAGAGGAAGATGGCTCCACCAGGCTCGTCCAGAGACTGGATGGCTGTCTCCACCAGCTTGGTGGACTTGTCCAGCTGCTCCCGGTACTGCTGCGTGAGGGCCTCAATGAAGCTGAGCTTTTCCTCCTGCTCCTGCGTGATCTGCTGTAGCAGCTCACTCTTCTTCTCATCCAGGATGGCGTACAGCATGTCAAACTTCCGACTCAGCTGTTCCTTCGCCTGGTGACTGTTCTCCTGGGGACAGAGATCTTGGAGTCACATCCTGTTGGCTTCTCCCTATCCCCAACACTTCCTTTCTGGAATGGGTGTGCTAAGAAAAACGAATCTAAAGCTGGAAGAGGTCTTACTACACCCTCATTTTACACAAGATGAAATGAAGGTTTAGCAAGAAGAAAGCACTTGCTAAGGTTTCATAGCTACTCAGTACATGTTTGGAGCCTGGTGTCATGGAGAAAGCAACCCCATTCCTCAAAAATAGAGACTCTGGGGTCAAATGAAATGATACATTCTGGCCCTCCAGTGTGTCCCCAAGTCACACTCTTCTCCCCATTTTAGGACCAAGAATGGATTCGAGAAGCTCTGCATCACTTGGTCCTAGAAGAGGTGGAGAAGCAGCTCCTTCCCTAGGACTTCCTCAGTGAAGTTCCCTTGTCTTCAACACAGATGCCACATCTCAGTTTCCTGTCTGCAAAATGGATACAATAATAGCATCTCATCAGACCAGGGGCTCTAGCATTGTCTATCAGCCTGGGAGCCCACATGGGTGGTAACAATGTCCCCCTCCTGTCTACCAGCAATCTGATGATCCCTTGCCCCCACCTCATCTCCAGGGACCTCTCCCAAGTGAAGAAAGGAAATCATGGGTGTTTTTACAGAAACAGAAAATTTTTTTTTGCCTCTACAGTCTTGCTACTCAAATTGTGGCCCATGGGCCAGCAACGTGGGCAAACCCCGAGAACTTGTTAGAAACGCAAAATTCCATGCCTCATCCCAGACCTCTTGAACCAGAACTTGGACTTTAACAAGACCTCAGGGTGACTTGTGTGCACTTCAAAGTTTGAAGCCTTGGTGTACAGCACACAGAGAACAATGGTCTAAAAACCACCAATGCTAAAAAACAAAATAAATTAAATTAAATTAAATTAAATTAAATCCTGGGAATTTTTGGTGGGGTGGGGGCTGTCTTGTTTACCACCCCACCCCTGGGGCCGTTGGCAGGGACCGACACACAGCTGTGCTCCAGAAACATTTGTTGAATGAGTGGATTAAAGGATTAGTCAGTCCCTCTCCACTACCCCTGCTTGAACACCCCAGGCTGCAGGCCCCAGCCTTGAATCACAACCCAGGGGTGAGCCTTCACCCCACAGACTAGGCTGCACTGGAGGCTTCAAACCCCCGGGTCCCCTCACCTTGGTCACGCGACTGGAGTCCTCCAGCTGAGTGATGATGGTCTGCATGCGGTCGTTCCCCGCCACCAGCATGGAGATGCAGTTACTCAGTTCAGTCTGGATGGGAGGAGGGGGTGGGGGGTCAGGAGAGACAGAAATAGTCTCAGGGCCCGCCCTCTGGGAACTGACAGCACATCGGCACCCTCACTCCCCTCTCTGCTAAAGAGCCTCCACTAGCTGTCGAGGGTGCTCTTTCCGAGGGACAGCCGAGGTCCAGAGCAGAGAACATGAGAGATACTGTTTTCTTTATTTTACAAATGGAGCCCAGAGAGGGGAAGTGAGCTGCCCAAAATACACAGCAAGGTACTGGTAGAAGAGGGGCTTGTTTCTGAGAAAGAAGGGATGAAGAGAGGAAATAGTTGGGAGTTCTAAAAAAGATCAGTGGTGGGGATGGGTGGGATGGGGGAAAGTGGTGGTGGGAAAATGGAGACAACTGTATTTGAACATTCACTTTAAAAATGATTTTAAAGAGAGATCAAGAGAAGGGCAGGAGGTGGGGAAGAGAGAGTATGGAGAGAGGGGCCACAGGTCACTGCACAGACAGGGTAGTGGGTCTCCCACATGTCTGGGGGATTTGGAGCCTGAGACAGGTGACCAGCACAGGAAGAGGTATCTGGGGCCCAAAGCACACTGGGGTGTAAAAGCCATGGCCTGAGAGGCCCCCATGTCCTGAGAGGCCCCGGCGGCCTGGCCCTGGGGTCTGGCCTCTCCCCTGAGGCCACACCCAGGTGCTCTCAAGTGGCTCTAAGTATAACCCATGAGCTCAGCCACCTCCCCCAGGAAGGCAAGGACTGTTGTCCCTGTAGCCTGGGAAGTCCCTCCAGAGGGCCCATTACTGAAAGGGCCCTGGCTCAGCAGACATGCAAGGATCAAATCTGAATCCTGAATCATCGGGCCGTGCCCAACAGGCTGTGAGAGGAAGCGGCTCGGGCCAGTACCTTTTGTCCCTGGAAGACACTCTGTAACGGGGCCACTTCACATGCCTGGTGGGCCCCAAACACCTTGCACATAGAGCAGGTGGGCATCTCACAGGTGAGGCAGTAGATGTTGATTTTCTCGTCTTCATGCTCCTTGCACATGGGGTGCCTGCCCTTCTGCAGGGGCCTACTGAAGTGGAAGAGTCACGAGTCACAAGGTGGGGTCTCCTCACCCAGCTCCAGTCATAGCTCCTCCCCAGACCTATGACCCAAGTTCTCAGTGATTGGATGTCCTGATCCTTTTCTTTATCCTGTGGGGAGCCAGTGCCAGGGAAGCCAACGACACCATGGTTGTCACCACATACTAGGACTCAAATTCTGGTGATGGAGCTGGCTTGGACATTGGAAGGGTGGTAGGACCCCCGAGTCAGATCTGGAGACATTTTCAAGAGGAGGAAACTGGGCCCCTGAAAGGTGAATTGACTCACCCAAGGTCACCCAGCAAGTCAGGGCAGGGGAGGCTGAAGTTCATTTGCTCTAATTATAGTCACTGCACCTCTCCGTTTCTGCAGGCTGGGCTCTAAGTGAAGCAATTTATCATGGCCTCATAGAATTCTATATTTAATCCACCAGACTGTAACCTCCATCAAAGCAGGGAAACCTGCCCACTCCCTTCAGTCCTGAACCTGCAGTGTACAGTGCCTTGCATGGAGGAGGTGGTGAGTAAATACAGGCAGAAGGAATAAATTAGCAAGCACGGAGGGCGCCCGACGCTCAGAGAAGGAAGCAGTGTGTGTGCCCGAGCCGCACAGCTAATACACAGGCAGTTCAGGCTGTCTGACAGCCCAGCACGAGCCTCGACTTCTAATCCAGAGATTGTTCTCCCAGGGTCTAGACTCTTACTTCCTTTTGTTCCCAAACACTCATTCTTAGAATGTCTCTCTTCCTTTGTCTCTCTCTCCACTTAAGGGCTCTAACACGTTATCTGTGCTTCTCTCAGGAAATTGGTCACCTCCTACCTGAGATTCATTTGGGGGGTCTAGGTCTTACCTCCCCTGGCTGGACTCCGCACGCATTTAGAGTCCACCCCGTGTCTACACTACCTCTGATTTCCCAGCCCCTAACACTGCAGGCGACCACCCAGCCCAGACTTCTGCATGTGGGTTTGAATCCAGATTGTTCTGCACTTATTCATTCTGTGAATAATGGACAAGTGCTTGGGCAAGTGCTTTTGCTTCTCTGAGCTTTGGTTTCCTCCCAGAGTTCCTGAGATCATGGCAGGAGTTGGCTGTAGTGATGGTATAGTACTGGGCAGACCCCTACTATGGGCGGCTATCTTTGTCATCCGACCATGCAGGAAGCCCTCATAAGTTCGAACACAGTATAATCTTCATAGGCCGACACTGGATGGGCTAATATTCTAGTGCAATGTTGATTTTATTAGTATTATAATGATCAAAAGTATATTTGCATTTTGTAGTGTTGAGCCCTAGCAGCGAGAGACACGACAGCAGTCAGGAGTGTTCGTTGTGGAGCCAGTCAGACAGGCTCCCTCTCAGCTCCAGCACTTGCAAGCTGAGTGGCCTTCTATGTAAAATGAGGGGAAGACTGTCTTATCGTTACTGTGAGAATTAAGTAGGGATAACTTGTGGGAAATAGTATGGTGCCTACGCACAGTAGGTGCTCAATAAATGTGTGACATTTTTGAACATTTCCCATTAAAATCCTATACAGTCCCCCAAACAAACTTTACTGTCCCCTCTGAAGGCGGGGGAAATGAAGGCTCAAGGACTTACGAGGACCCTGCAATGCATTAGTAACAGAGTTGGATGAGCAAACACAGTTCCCTAGGCCTGGGCTTCTTCTCGCTAGGATGGGTCTGTCACCTTTCCCTGGGCAGGACGCTGCCTCCAGGCTGTGACAGTTTGGGACCATCGGGGCTGCCTGGAAGTCTTGTTGGGACATCCTGATTTGTAAAGATCTCCCTGGGAGCTGTGTCTCTCCCCAGTTCGAGGCCCCACACGGCACAACCTCCAGCACTCACAAGCTCTGCCTGAGATGGAGCCATGCTTCTGGGTCAAGGAGACACGCAGCTCCCTCGTCAGGGCCCACTCCCAGCTCTCCCATTTCCCCGCTGAGCAACCCTGGGCGACTGACTCCACCTCTCTGAGCCTCAGCCTCCTTCTCTGTGAAATGGGATGATAAGTCATGCCTGATTTATAGGGCTGTTGTGCAGCAGCGGGAGAAAGCATTCCCAGTGTGTGCCTCCCTTAGCTGTTGCTATCACTATAGAAACCGGCTCTGTTCTCACTGGGCACTTTCTCGGCTTATCAGGGCCCCTTAGCTGGCCCCAGTGCCTCTCTGTCCCTCTCCCATCTTGTCTTCCCTCTGGGTCCTATCGCAGTAGCTTGCAGTAGAGCAGTCTGGGCCCCTTCCCACTCACATAGAGTGAGCCTCTGTTCCTGCCTGAGGAAGAGGGACATGGCTCTCCGAACTGGCTGGTGGAGCCCATCCAGCTAGGCGACTGGATCTCGAGCAGATGAAGGAGGAAGGAGCCTGGGACAGCCAGGCACAGAAGGGCTGGGAAGGGAGGAGGGGCTCCCAGGACCGGGTGAACTGACCTTGAGCACTCCTGCTTGTAGATATCAATGATGTTCTCCACCAGCAGGTTCCTCTGTAGGCCATACACTCCGTGACGATCCATGATCACCTCATGGCGGCAGGAGGGGCAGCGGAAACGGCCTCCAGACATGGACATCGAGCCACCTCGATTGGTCCAGTAGGGGTTCGCAGCCTGTGGGTGTCGAGGACAGAGGTGAGTCTTGGGCTCCCCCTTAGCCCCTGCCCTTTCTAATCTCTGATTATCCTCCCTCCTGCTCACCCCACCCATTCTTGTCCAACCACAGGACCTGGATGGAGCCTCCGTCTTGAGTTGAGAGGCAGATCACTCCCACAGAGAGCGCCTGAGACACACCAAGCAATCAACAGACCTGGAGTTCAAGTCACAGCCATTCTCTGAATGACTTTAGGCAGGCAATGTTATCCCTCCAAGCCTCAGTTTTCCCATTTGTCAAATGGGCATTATGATTAGAACCAGTGACTAGGGCTGCTACTTTAAAGATAAAACAGTGAGAGAACATTTTGTAAAGTGCTTCTGGGGAAGCTTGAGTCCTGCCTCCCAGCCAGGACATGCACTCTCCTGCCTTTCTTAGATAAAGCCCCTCCTGCCTTATATTGGAGGCAGTACCCTCGAAGGGGAAGGTGTTGCTACTGGCCAGTGCCTCCCACCCTCCCTCCTCCTACAGCTCTGGGCCCCCTGCCACCAGGGAGCTGGCTCCAGCCCCAGGGGTCTGGTTTCTCTCTCCTCTCCCCCTGCCTCCCCCACTTATCACTTGAGGCATTTGACTCCTGATTGAAGAGTCAACTGCAGTGCTCAGGGTGGAGGTGGCTGAGCTGCCACAGGATGGGGAGGGGACACATGCGTCATGGAAAAGGAACTGGGCCCTCAGAACCATTATCCAGACCCCTCAGCTCAGTTCAGAGGCCTTTGCAGGGGAAAAACGGGCCCCAGTTTAGAAGGGTCCTGGGCTGAGAGAGGAAAGTTTTCATCAGAGGAAAGCCAAGGAGCCCCCAGAGCCCCCAGGACTAGGCCGTGCCCGGCACTCACCTGGAAGATATCACTGGCACACTTCCGGCAGAGGTTGTGCTGACACGGCAAGATGACCACGGGCTTGGTAAACATCTCCAGGCAGATGGGACAGATCAGCTGCTTCTCCAGGTTCTCCAGGGGGTTCCCATCCTGGATCAGGCCGGATTTGTAATCCATACTGTCGGGGGGGTGTGGGGCTCCCCTGGCTGCCTCCTTTACCTTCCTCGCTCTAAGCAGACCTGGGGTTTTGCCTTTGTCACAAAACACTCGCCCAGAGTCTCTTGGCCTTCTTCTCCTGGTGCCTGAAATCTGTCTTGGTCTGAGGCCCCTCTGATATTTATAGCTAGACCCTGGTCACATGAGCCCCAGGAAGGGACCAGCTGAGCATTCTGGTGCCAGCACGGCTGGCGGGGCTTGAGTTTCCTCCCAGCCTGCAAGACCAGACTCTCAGATCATGTGTGGGGATGTGCAATCGCTGTCCTCTCGGGACGGGGGTCGTAAACAAGAACAGCCTGTTCGTGGGCAGACTTGGGGTAGGACTAGGTACCCAGAGTTTCCTCCAGAAATCAGTCTCCTCCCACACCAGAAATCAGTCTCCTCCCACATGAGCCAGGGATGGGACCCCGGGAATGGGCCCCTGGGAGTTTCAGGGTTAATAGCCAGTGCCCCCTCACTGGCCATACTCAGGTCCACCCTTCCTCTGGTGTTCCGGGCAGCTCCCAAGAAGACGGGGCAGGGCAGCCCCTCTCTCTGAGCCCATCTTTCTGCCTCAGACCTGGGCACAGCACGTTGTTGGAGACCTTGACACGGACCCCCGACCCCAGCTAGCCGGTCCCCCATCCCATGACCACTAATGCCACCTTAATGCTGAAAGAGCTCCCTTAAAATGTAATCCAATTCCCTTGTGTTGCAGATTTTGACACTGGGGTTGAATAGGGACCTTATTCAAAGTCAAAGGAAGTTAAGGGGCAAAGCCAGGAATCACATTCATTCATGAGATATTTTCCTGAGTACTAACTGTATACATCAGGCACCGGGTGACAGACAGATGAATAACCCTTCTCCCCGCCCCGAGATGCCCACAGCCTAGGAGGGGAGACAGACGGAAATAGCCGAGCCCCACCTAGTCACACTTAGAAGTTATCCACGTGCTCTCCTCTGCTCTCTGCACTGATACGAGTTGTTCTCCATGTCCTTCTGGACGGCTTCCATGGTGGCAGGTAGACGTCATTAGAGTAGCAGTCCCAGAGGTTGTTTTTAAGACAGAAGCTCATGCCAAAGGACATTAGTTAGGGCCACCAGGTATTAGGTGCTGGGGCGAGAACAGGAGCAGTGACATCAGGCCTCAGGATAAGCCTAAGAGGGCGTGGGGCACACAGGAGTGTCCAGGGTCTCACGAAAGAGGGACGGCAGGAGAGTAGGCTTGATCTCCTCAGCCTGGAGAGGGGTCGAGGGTTGGAGCCGAGACCCAGGGAGTAGTGAGGGCAAAGAAGCCAGCCTTGGGAAGGGTGGGCAGTAAGGTGGAGGAGAAGAGGGGGAGCAGTCAGAGAAAGAGGAGGGGGCCTAGAGAGAGGGGGCTGGGGAAATTCAAGGAAAGGCTGGCCCCCCAAACTGTTAATGGCTCGTTCCAGCTGAGCACTTACTACGTGCCAGACACTGGGCTAAGCACTTTGTACGTATTGTTTCATTTCACCATCTCAGCAATGACAAAAATTATTATATCCCTGAAAAGGGTTCCCGAATCCAATTCCAGCACGGGGGTTCCCCTGTACCAACAAACAGTTCTAAGGTACCAGCAGGGTGCTCAAGAATTCCACTCCATTCTGATGTGATCTGCCAGGGTAAAGGGCTCAGTCCCACAGACGGCCCTCCTTCAGACACCCAGCTCTTACCTGTGCTTCTGACGGATCGGCTATAGATTGGAGGTTCCCCCGGCTCCCTCTCCACAGGTTCAGTTAATTTACTGAAGTTAATTTAATTTAGAGAAGAGCACAGAAATCGGAGGGAGATTTCATTTTCTAGATCAAGGGTTTATTACAAAAGGATAAAATTCAGGAGCAGCCAGGTAGAAGAGACACGTAAGGCATGTGGGAAGGCGGGGCCACAATTTTCCCAGGACCCCCACGTGTTCATGAACCTAGAAGCCCTCCAAACCCTGTTCTCTTGGGTTTTATGGAAACCTTAGTATGCAAGCCATAAGCCTGATTAAATCATTAACTGTTGGTGATTGGTTAACCTCCAGCCCCTCTCCCCTGCCCAGAGTGAGAGACATTTGGGACTGAAAGTTCCAACTCTAATCATATGGAGGGTTCTCCTGGCAACCAGCCCCCATCCTTTGGTGCTTCCAAGTCATCTCATTCACATAACAAAAGACACCTCCGTCAGCCTCTGCATGTAGAAATTCTAAGGGTTTAAGGAGCTGTGAACCAGAAATTGGTTCACAGAACAAATATCTATTTCTTATTATAGACCTGAGGAAACTCAGGCACAGAAAGGAAAAATAACTCGTAGGAGGTCACACAGCTTGCCGAGGTGGCTCAAGGACATGAACCCAGACATGCTTGACTTGGGAGCCCAAGTTCCTCATGTGTCTGCTGAACTGTGTAGGTCAGCGGTGCCAGGCCAGGAGGACGAGGGTTACAAAGGGGCCATCCCTTCTTCCTTGCTCACATGACCTCAGTTTTTTTCAGCCTTGCAACCAAGACAGGACAAGTCTGAGGAAGAAATCAGCTCCCTGAGAAGGACAAAGAGGGACCAGAGAAAACACTGGGGTCGCTGTGCTGCCAGGTCACCCACCCCTGGGACTTCCTACCTCTTAACTCTTTAGATGCAACTTCACAGATATCATGGTGTCATCATTCTGTCACTTGCAGCAGAGAGCACTCTATGCATTCATGGTTCCAACTTCTACATCCTAATGATCCTCAAATCCCGAACCCACCCAGAGAGCACCATCACCCCTCACACTGAGCTCCTCCTTCCCTTTTCCTTTTTTGTGTCTTAATGAGCCGCTCTACCGTCACCTGCTGCGCAGACCGGAAGGCAGAGCGCCATCCTCGGGTTCCCCCTTCCTCCCGTGGCACCCTGTGAATCTCACCACCCAGCACGGGTCCATCTTTGCATCTCACTTGTCATCCTCCCATCTGTGAGTCTGACTCTCCCTCTGGACCTGGAAGACTTTAAGGACAAAGACTGTCTCTTTGCCTCCAGTGCCTGGCACATAGTAGGCACTTAACAAAAGTTTCTTAAATGAGTGAACAAGTGAATGTATGAATTGAACCAGGGAGCAGCAGGGTGGCTGTCAGACTTGGGGGAGATCAAGGTACTTGACCAAGATTTTTGCTTGTTTGGTTTTTTTGTTGTTTTTGTCTGAGAGGGTACAGCCAGTGGAGAGAAAGTACTAAAACATTGGGGAGGGGGTGATGGAGTAAATTCTGAAGCATTGGTAAGGAGATAGACAATCTGACTGTTGAGATGGGAGGATAAGAGAGAAGAACAGATGGCCCTGGCTGGTGTGGCTCAGTAGGTTGAGCACCAGCCTGCAAACCAAAGGGTTATTGGTTTGATTCCCAGTCAGGGAACATGCCTGGGTTGCAGGCCAGGTTCCCAGGAGGGGGTGCGTGAGAGGCAACCACACACTGATGTTTCTCTTCCTCTCTTTCTCTCTCCCTTCCCCTTTCTAAAAATAAATAAATATATTTTTTTTAAGTGAGGAAAAGATGGAGGTGAGGTGCTGAAAAGTTGAGAGAAAGGTGCTCCTATTGATGACCTCGGTCGAGTCCAACTTTTGAGGCAGAAGCAGGGAGAAAAGCAGCATGCGTGGGTGGTGGGAAAAGTTTGGACCAGAAAGTGAGAGATGCGGGAGAAAGTGCCTAGAGAGGGCCGAAAGCTGCCCGGAAGCAGAAGAGCCTCACCGACGTTTCCCAACACGCACTGCCATCTGTGAGGAGCCATTCACACGATTCTGTTGACTTTCTCCAGCCACGCTTGGTGCTCCAGCTGCAACAGCCAAGCAAATAAATGGACAGTGGGATCAACTCCAGCCTGGGAGCTGGCAAGGCCAGTGCTGCTGAAAGTCAAGGGGTGGGGGAGGGAAATTCCCACATGGGCCATGCTGGGCATCAAAACATGTTCTGTCATTTCATCCTCATGGCAGCCCTGCAATGGAGGTATTATGATCTTTGCTTTTCCCGGGAGGAAACGTGGTTCAGAGAGTTAATGGCTTGGCCAAAGCCGCAAGTGGCAGAGCTGAGCTGGGGTTCACATCCTCCTAAACCTGTGCTCTTCACACTGAAGCATTTATTGAGTACTCACTGCATGCCAGGCCTATGCTAAGCCCTTTCCATTCATCCACTTGTTTGGTCCTTGAAATAACTCAGGAACACAGGGGTAATGATTTTCCCTATTTTGCAGCTGATCTATAGAGGCTCAGAGAGGTTAAGTCACTTGGCCAAATGCCAGCCAGCAGTGAGTGGCAGAGCCAGCACCAGAAATAGGGTTATAAAGAAGTACCATTACCAGTTGCTGGAATATTCTATCAAACTGTGGACTGACAAAGAGACAAATTCAGAATATCAGTGGTGCATCGGAGCCCAAAGCCTTTAACTACTACATCTTACTGCTTCCCCCTCTGCAGGTCTCCTCATTTATTCACTTCACTGTTTATTAGTGAAAGTTTCAAACATACAGAAGTAGAGAGAATAATATAAATGAACTCATGTGACCAAACCCAGCTTTTACCCTTCATGTTTCCCCAGTCTTATTTCATCTATAATTCCCCCCGCACACACACTTCTTTGTTGTCGAATATTTTAAAGCCAGGCATTGTCATCATGTCATTCCACCCATAAATAGTTCGGTAAGCATTTCTAACTGAGCAGGATTGTTCTCCGTAATCACTACGCCATTACGTAGCAAAAATGACAATAGTTTCTTAATAATATTATCTGAACCCCAGACCATTTTAAGAGGTTGCTGATTGTTTCAAATGCCTTTTTACAGTTAGTTTGTCCAAATGTGATTCAAATGAGGTCTGACACAGGGCACGTTGCTGATTTTGTCTCATTAATCTCTTTTTAATCGGTGTCAATAGTCTTTCCCCCCATTCTTCTGCGCCACTGATTTGTTGGAGAATGATTCCAGATATTGTGATTCTCATTCTGACACATCAGAAACTGAAGTTCAGAGAGGTTAAGTGACTCATGGAACATTGCACAGCTAAGAGACAGACTTCTCATTTGGTACCGCCCCCAAAGCCTGTGTTACTGGAGGAAGGGGCTTTAGTGTGTGAGCAGGTCCCAGCTGAGTAGGAGGCAGGAAGAGCAGCAGGG